ACTCTGATCATGTGAGCTACCCCTCCTCATCCCCTCTTCTAACACCTCCCTCTACAAACCTGCCCTGCGTCTCTCCTCTGATGGTGGTCCCTCCACTGGGCAGGTGTCTGCCCAGAATCCCCTGGCACCTGCACCTTCTCTTACCCCTGCACCCTCCTGATGCCTCTCCCTTCCCTCACTTCCCCTGCCCCCTTTGCTCCATTTTTCCCTGATGCCCCACCCCTCACCACCTTCTGCCCCCATTCCCCTCATGTCCCTGTGCCCTCTCACATGACTTGCTCCATCCCAGCCTTCCTCATGCCCACCCTTTCCTTCAAGCCTTCTCCCAGCACCTCCCCTCACCCCTCTAGCCCCCAATGCCCTTACCCTCTCCCCTTCCAGCATCACCTTGTCCCCCTCCCACTGACACCTCTCCTCCTGCCCTTTTCCTCATTGTCTGCGCTTGGCCTCCTGGCATTTGTCTCTTCTCTACCCTGTCCCTTCGGTGCCTTCCCCTTCCCCTCCGCCTCCGCACAAGCACCTTCCTCTCCCAGCCCTTCCCCTTTCCCTCTGCACAAGCCCCAGCCCCTCCCCTTCCCGTACCTTCTGCCTTCAACTTTGTGGGGCTGGAGTCTGTGCTCTGTCCCTGGACTCCGAAGCCGCAACTCAGCCATGCGGCGCAACACAGCGCCCAGCAAGTTTAAAATCCCGGGCTGTGACGTTATGTCACGCCCGGGCATCTCCCCACCCACTGGTGTGAGCGTGCTGCGCAGGGCAGCAGCAGCCAGCCAGGGGGAGCTCAGGGAAGGTTGCCCACGGCAGGGACGGGGGAGAGACACTCTGGGGCCGGGCAGGGAGGACACGTGCGTGGGGGAGGGGTCGGGACCCTCTCCAGCTCCAAATATTGTGGGAGCATGGGCACCACAAGCCCACACAACTCGCTGCCCACGCCTCTGCTGGCTAGCCGGCTCTCTCTCTCTCTTTTTCAGAGGGGGAGGGGGAGTGCCGGCTCTTCGCGGAACCCCTCGTTTTGCTCCGCAGAACCCCAGGGTTCCGCGGAGCACCAATTGGGAAACACTGCTGTATACTGAAACCCTGCACCTTGTTTCCAGCTGTTTAATGTTAGCCAGTGACAGAGTAATGTTAACACCTTTGGCCATATATTCCATCTAAATTAATAATCACCCATCATGGGGCCAAAAGGATACATATTCAGAAGCTAGCACAGTGAAACAAAGAAGAATTTTTTTCAAAGTTAGTTTAAAACAAAAGTTCCTTTAACAAATTCTTAATGTGTTAAGCTTTGTTTAAAACAGGCATGCAAAAATTAATTTTATTTTAAAAAGCAGGATTTACAATACTTATACAGGTATTTATTAAAAATAGTAAATTATTTGTTGTTGTTTTATTTTAAAGTTTGTACTTTCTGTAGTTAGTAATTTTCAGTTCAATACCAATATTTTTTCAAAAGCAAAAATAGTAAAAATGAAGTGCTAAATTTGGAAAGGTCAAGTTGCTTAACCATTTT